AGGCCAGCCTGGTCTACATAGTGAGTTCCAGGACAGCTGGGGCCATAGGGAGACCCTGTCTCAAAAAGACCAAAAAAAAAAGAGGTGATTCTGTTCTTCCACGGCTTAAAATATTTCAGGAAGCTCCCTCCCAGCGGCTCCTTCTGCTCTCTAGAGCCATCAGAACTCAGTGTGTTACCTTGATCATGTGACAGAGAGACCTTTTAGCATTTGCAGGAAGAGTTTGTTTGTAGGTAAAGTGCTTATTGTGGAAGCATGAGGAGTGTGATTGCGGCACTTTGTAAAAAGGTGGGCATAATAGCATGTGCTTGTAATCACAGCGCCACAGGAGGCAAAGACAGGTGAATCCCTTGGGACTTGTTGACCAACTCCACTATCCCTAATGGGCAAGCCCCAGGTCCCAGTGAGAGACCCTATGTCAAAAAGCAAGGTAGAAGAGCTCCTGAGGAATGGCACCTGAGGTTGACCTCTGTCTGCCACACACAAATGCATACACATGCACTCACATACATGAACACACACACACACACACACACACACACACCTGCCCCCCCCCCCCCCACCCCCCCCCCCCCCCTCCCCCCCCCCCCGCATACCTGTTGGATCTTAATCAGTGAGGAAGGCTGTGAGTTATTCATTTGAATTCATGTTTTGGGAGAAAACATAGCCAAAAGTCTCTAAATAAAATAGGTATGTAATGGTGTTGACTATATGGCTTGGCTAATAACAGCTCTACTTACTGAGTACTCCTGTTCATGGCAGGGATTACAGAGAGTACCTAGACACATTATAATTAATTCTTGCATTCACTTTCAAAGATGGCGATGGGAACTGGGCTCAAGGAAATTAAGCCTTGTTAAGATATCACAGCTGTTTTATTCCTCATTCATTGAGCAGCACTGGTTCTTCTTTCATTGACTTGATATTTGCTTTAAAACAGCCAACAAGCACCTTTCTTCATGGTCCAGTTCCTTGACCAGTAGAATCAAATGTCTTTGTGTTAATTTCTAGAAGAGCTGTTTGATGTAAGGGTAACATCCCCTTTTACTTGTAGAATTTTCTGTCTCCTCTTTACTCTCAGGCTTCTTGGTTGCTTGATGCTTAGTGAAGACTCTGCTTGGCCGTACCACACCCCTACTTTGAGAACTGTTTCAAGAGGCTAAGGAATTCAAATAGCTCAGGGGCTCCCTGTACTGGTAGCCAACCCATGACTTTGCTACTTCATTTAGGAGTATTAATTTAACAAATCCAAGGTGGCGCTAAGATTTGCAACGAAGGGATGAAATAAAGATATACACACATATGTATTGCTGAAATTATGTATATGTATCTGAATATACAATCAATAAATACAAGAAGAAAGGAAAAAAAATTCCATAACAGAGACTAGAGTTTAATTGCTGTCAGAAAATTAGGGAAGATTTTCTGGAAGACTTGACCTGCATCTGCATCTAAAAGGATGAGTGAGGTTTGGCTTGAGGGATCTACAGATGGAGTTGAGGAGGCCCAGTTTGCCTGTTGGAGGGGACAACAGTGGCCAAGGCCTGCTGGAGGAAGGCCAAGGAAAGTGTGGGCTGCAAGTAGTGTTTATGTCCATTGAGTTGGAGCATGGGCTCTGCAAGGCAGACATGATGCTGTATGGTCATAATTGTGTTGTCGGGCTTAGGGGCAGTGAGCGGGATGACTGGCAGAGGGAGGAGAGCTGGGTAAAAGCATCAAGCTGGATGTTGCTTTGCTCGCATCCTGGCTCCTGAGTGGAAAACCAGCTCACAGCTCTTGCATCAGCCACCCTGTTAACTATACAGGGTACAAGGAGATGCTGCCCCAGCCAGTTCATCCCTTTTCCCCAACCTCACTGTGGTTGGCTGTAAGAGACACACCAGCACTCCTGCCCTGTGGGCCACAGAAGGCTCATGGTCTGTGCACAGGACTTGGGCTGTGGGACTGCTGTGCTCTCTCCCTGCTCCCAAGACAGTGAGAATGAAGAGGGTCAGTGTTTGTTCTGTGGTTGCGAAAGAGCTCTACAGCTCTGCTCCACTGTTCCAGGGTCTGTGTCTGTTTAGCTGGAGACCCCATGTAGGTGCATCTTACCCCACTGGTTTTTTGCGGAAGCAGGTCTTCCAGGAATTTGAAATTTAAAAGAGAAGTCACAAAACATTTGGTCTGTCTGCTTGCCTGTTGTTGGTAGCATCCTGGCCTAAAATGCTTTCACTTAGAGTTACAGCAGCACTGGGATTCTTTCTTGCCTGCCTCCAGTCTGTTCCGAACCCTCCTTTTGAAACATTGACCTTTGGAGTACTCTTCCAATGAATGTAAGTCATGACATGGGATTATCCATGGCTTGAGCAGAGCAGCAGGTCCTTTTATGGAAGCATGTGGCCTGCTTTGTCTACTGATTAACTAGAAAGAGTCTGCTCTTAGTTTCTATAGTCAGGTGTGTCTAGTGCATTTGAGATTTCAACCAAGGAGAAACACTGGGAGCAGAGTGCTGAGGTCAGGCTGGGATGGGTCCCTCACTCACTATGTGCAAGGTTTGTACTGCTCCACTTGGTTAGGGTGGCTGGCATTCTTGGTTAAAAGGTCTATGAAGCGAGCATCTAGGGAGTATTTGAATAACTGTCATATATTCCTCATCATTTGATAGCTTGGAGCCTTAATCGTAAGTACAGTATTACCACAAGTATTTAAAATGATGTAGTGATGTTTTTCTATTTTAGTTGACTTATCCTTTGGCTTTTATTCTCTTTAATTTCATGTTAATTTTCAAAAATAGTTGCTATAAGCTGGTCGTGGTGGCACATGCCTTTAATCCCAGCACTGGGGAGGCAGAGGTAGGCAGATCTCTGTGAGTTCAAGGCCAGTGTGGTCTACATAGTGAGTTCCAGGACAGCTGGGGCTATGGGGAGACCCTGTCTCAAAAAGACCAAAAAAAAAGTTGCTATAAAAATGTTTGACAGTGCAGTTTGGTGAACCTGGGCTTTAGATCTGTGGACATGCATTTGGGCTTTAGCTTTATGCCCCTGGCAGTAGAACTATGGGCACAGTATTCAGATTTGGTTCCTTTACTTATTGTCTGTGAAGATTTTGGTTCTTAAATTCATAGGGTTGTTTTTGGAGTTGAATATGGACCTGCACATGCCATGTCTAACGTACCAGCATTAGTGTCCAGGCTGGTGGCAGGAGTCAGGGAGACATCCCTGATTACTCTCAAACTCAAACTTATTTGATTATAGCCATCTGCCGCTACATACACATTTTCCTTTCCCCGGTGTCTTAGCTCTCCTGCAGTGCCAGGGTCTATGGATAGAGGCCCTGCCTCCTCTCCTTCTGCCCCCTCTGCCCTGAGAGAGAGCAGCCGCACTCCTTCCTTAGTAGTGTACTGTGGGTGACCTTCATGGGCAGAAGTGAGGACCGAAGCTGACTTTGGTTTGAGAGTTTGTTCATGGAAGGACTCTCTCTGTTCTTCTTAGGACAGATTTCATGTAGTCAATGTTATTTAAGCATCTGCCATGTACAGGGCTGGCAGGGCTGGGGATTAGAACTGGGGGAGAGATGCCCCTCACCCTTGCAGTTACCTATGGCTGCCCTGCGTTTGATGTGTGCTGTGACAGAATGTATCAGGGACGTGGCAGTGCTGCATGCCGACCTTTCAGGTGTGGCTTTCCCTCCCACGCCTTCCTCTGTTCTCTGACAACTGTTACATCTAGGTAGTATGGAAGTAATCAGTTGGTCATTGTATATTGTGTACCAGAGACTTTCTGGGGAATTACAAGATTGAATGTTCTTTTGTAGTCAGCCCTGTATCTGATTTTGAATTTGGAAATTTAAGTCACCATACTGGGACAGAGAGGTATAAATGGCCTGTTAATTATCAGGAAGTATTTGCCAGGTTCATTCTGAGTGCAGGGAGCAGCGATGGGGTCTGCACTAGTTAGGACGCGTGACAGTCATGCACTGGCACTGACCGCTACCTGCGTTCTGCCACAGAGTCTGTCCTGTTCCTCTTGCCTCAGCCTTCACTGGGGTTTTCCTTCTGTCATGAATTAGGACTCATTCACAGGTACCCACTACATGCTGCACACAGCCCTAGCTAGCTGCAGGTGTCTAAGAAAGAAGAGACAGATACCCACTCTCCTGCATTGCTCCTTGAAGAGGATGTAGACTCTTGAGTCAAGTGAACAACTCCAGAAAGACCCGCAAGAGCCGAGAGGAAGTTTGGGCCCAGAAAGGTCAAGTGAGTCTTCCCGAGTACTTCACACAGCACATTGTTCTCCTGTATTACAGAGACTTGCTCTCTGTACCCCCTAAAGGGTCTGGCTGCCAGGTTGCCGACCTCCTTTCCTGCCTCTTTTCCTCAATTCTTGTCCTGGGGAGTGGATGAGTGGAGGGAAGGCTAAAAGGCTGCCCTTGTTGTTGAGAGCTTGCTCTTACAAGCAGCCACAGTGGAGTTAAATGGGCCATGTAGCCAGTGGGATACTGGTGTAGATTCTCTTTCATCATGTAGTCGGGCCTCTTTGTAATTGTTCAGTCTGAGCTCAGACCTGAAAGGACCTGAGTAGGATGATGCCTGCAGGGAACTCAACTGGAGCATCATGCTACCATGAACTCTCAGTGCCAGAAGCTTTGCCCCCGTGCAGACTAGGGGCTTGTGCGTTGCCACAGTGCAGATTCATTGGTTGGACTTGAGGAAAGAGCTGAGACTCATACCCAGGTGTTTCCTGTGAGGCTGCCTTTGAGGCAACTTGGAGTGGCAGAAAGTGGCCTATGTGTTTGAAACTCAAAGTGTGATTGGCAGTGACAGGAGTCAGGTTCCAGGGCTCCTGTGCTGCCCCATTGCTTTCTAACTTGGGAAGATTCATCAGTGATCTCCCCAGAATGGACCTGGAAGGGCAGCATGACCAGGTGTGACAGGCCAGGCACAGTTCTTGGGGCCTGAGCTTGGTGACAGAAGTGTTGACCGAAAAGGCCACAGACAAATGTTTCTCCTCTTTCTGTTTCAGACAGCCCACTTGAGGATACTGACCCTAAAGACTCCTGTCACATTCCAAGAAACATCATGGCTGAGCCAGACTATATAGAAGATGACAATCCTGAACTAATTAGGCCCCAGAAGCTGATCAATCCTGTCAAAATGTCCCGAAACCACCAAGACCTCCACAGAGAGCTACTTATGAATCAAAAAAGGTATGGCAGTTTCTTCAGCACTGTGTTCCTTCAGGGATGTTTAAGGTAGCCAGATTTCATTTTTATTGTATTTACAAAGACCTCAAAGGGGTTTTGCTTGTGGGTCCTGCTAAAGGCTTCCTTCCACCTTGCAACCTGGAGCCAGGACATCCCTACATGAAGCAGTGCTGCACCTGTAGGTGTGGCTGCTACTGGTAGAGCTTTCTATGCCTCTTTCTAAATACATGCTTATTTTTAAAAATAATTTTTATTTTGTGTGTGCCCTTGTTCCTCTGTGTGTGTGTGTGTGTGTGTGTGTGTGTGTGTGTGTGTGTGTGTGTGGTGTAGGTCAGAAAACAACTTTCAGGAGTTGGTTCTCTCTGCCATCTGTGTCCTGGGGCTAGGTTAAGATAAAAGAGTATAGGTTAAGATAAAAAAGTATCTACGTAGAAGAGGAATATATGTTTTTAAATTTAAAATCTCTGAATTTCTGCATGACATTTTGGGAAATGTAGCAATCAAATGTAAATTCTGCTTGTGCTGCTGTTTCTGAATGGCACAGAGAGGCTTCTGGAAACTTATTAGACTTACTAGATGACAATGCTCTTCCTTATGTCTTTATTGCTTTGTTTGAAATACTGTTTTAAATTATCATCATCTTTCTGTTACATTTTTAGTAGGAAGCAAAGCATCTTCCGCCTTCTTTGTAATCTATTTTGTAATGCACTCTGAGTATTGGACTGGGTGGGACCTTTGTCTCTCTCTCTCTCTCTTTCCTTCCTTCCTTCCTTCCTTCCCTCCCTCCCTCCCTCCCTCCTTTCTTTCTTTCTTTCTTTCTTTCTTTCTTTCTTTCTTTCTTTCTTTCTTTCTTTCTTTCTTTCTTTCCTTCTGTGTGTATGTTTGTGTACACACGTGTGTGAAAGCATGCATAGAGGCCAGAGATTGACATCAGGATGTCTTTCCTTGGTCACTTCTTCACACTTACTTTTGAGGCAAGGTCTCTTGCTCAACCTGGAGCTCACTAATTGGCCAGACTCGTTGGTCAGAGAGCCCCAGGTCCTCCTTCTCTACCTTCCAACACTGAGGTACAGCTGCGTGCCACTGTGTCCAGCTTTTTTTTTTTTTAATTTTGTTTTTGGGAATCCCATCTCAGGCATTCCTGTACAGCACTTTGCCCACTGAGTCATCTTGCCAGTTCAGGTCCTCTGCATTTTAAGTCATTTTGGACAGATCAGTAAACTGGGAGAGTTAAAATTACAAGGCTGTTGTATGCCACCTAACAATGTAAGATTTTTGTATTGAAAACCTGTTATGTTTCATAATATAAAATATATTCATGTTTTTTACTTGAAAACCACCTTTTCTTTCTTTTTAAAATGCACTTCCAGTCATAGCAAATCCTTAAAGTGCAGCTAGGACTGCTGATGGTGCCTCTTGGAAAGTGGAGGGTAGATAGGATCTAGCTTATTGCTCACATGCCAGCATTTTAATGCTGTTATTTAATTTTTATATAAAAGACATTGTTTACCCCCACTTTGTAGATGAAGAAACACGTCAAGAGGGGCAGCCTGGTCAAGACCATAAGACTGTTCAAATTAAATCATGAACCAGGATTCACAACATTTTCTCTCTAAACTCAAAGGCTGCATGCACTCTTTTTACGTTGTGTTGCCTGAACTAAAGTCAGTGTTCTGGAACAGTTGAGCTAGGACTGCCTGAAGCTATGGGTCTGGGAAGGTGAGGGCCAGAGTTTTGATCCTTACCACCCGTGTAAATGCCATGCAGATGTTGTGTATCATCTGAATCCCAGCACCTGAGAGGCAGAGGCAAGGGTGCCTAGAGCAACCCGCCTAGCTGGACCAGCTGAACCCATGAGCTGTGGATTTAAATGAGACTCTGTCTCAACACGAAGCTGGAGAGTGATCAAGGGAGATACTAAAGTTAGTCTCTAGCTTTCACACATGAATACACATGTCCTCCCATATACGTGTGAACACACACACACACACACACACACACACACACACACACAGAGTCAACTGTTCAGACAGGGAAAGAAGGAATAAGCAGAGAAAGACAGAAAATATGAAGCTTTAGGAAATTAGGAAACAGATTGAGTTGCACAAAGCCATATATTTAACAGCAATGTGATTCAGACCACTAAGTTTTAGGAGTATTTTTCAGCTAAAGTGTTTCTTAGAATTCAGCTAAGCACTGATACCCGCCCCCCCCCCCCCCCCCAATTTTTCTACAAAAGGAATGGAGGCTCAGGAGTAAAATCGCTGAACAAACAGTGACCAGCAGCAGCTCCCCAGTTTTGGACATACTAAACTGATGATTTCCCAACAAAACAGTCATCATTTGTCAGGCAGTAGTGCCTTCAGATTCTGTGATCTGTTTCAGAGTATCAGTAGACCTTGGCTTTGCTTTGACCGTGAAAAGAACAAATCCATGTTTTCTGTTTTCTATTATGTAGCAAAGTATGTTGAAAGCTAAGTGTTTATGAAAAGTGACCAGACTTGTGCTGGGGACAAAAAATAATGTAAGTCACAATCCCATGATCAAATATTGTAAGCCATAACCTCATGGTCTAGAAGGATGGACATGTTTATAGAGAACTATTGGAATGGGAGTCATGAACCTGGTCGGCAGGAGTATACTCGGGACATAGGCCTTCCAGGGTTGGTGAGATGACTCAAAGGTGCTTGGTGCTTGGTGTCAAGCCTGACAACCCGCGTTCAGTCCTTGGGACCCACATGGTGGAAGGATACATCCGACTCCGGAAAGTTGTTTTCTGATTTCCATATGCAATACTATGTCATGTGCATGTGTGTACACACACATACAAAATAAATCTAAAACATTTTAGTTGAAGTGTTTAGGGCTGGAGAGATGGCTCATTGGTTAAAGAGCACTGGCTACTATTCCCAGTGGCTAACAACTATCTGTAACTCCAGGTCCAGGGAATCTGACACCCTCTTCTGATCTAGTGCACTTACATACATGCATCTAAAACACTCAGACACATAAAGTAAATAAAATTTAAAAATTAAAAAATTTTCAGCTTCTCAACATTACATAATAGGGGTAGAAATAAGCATAGGATTTAACACTGTTTCTAGAGATACGAGAAAGGGCTGAGGAAATTGGAGATAGCATGAGATCCATATAGAAGGAGACTTTATTAGTCAGGGTTCTCTAAAGAAACAGAACCTGTAGAATGAAAATATATATATGTATAGAGATTTATCAGCTTAGCTCACAGGATAGAGTCCAAGTAGTCCGACAATGGCTGCACCACACTGGAGAGGCTGAGAACCTGTACTTGCTCAGTCCACGAGGCTGGATGTCTCAGTAGTCCCAATCTGGCGCTGAAGGTCTGACAAATTCCAAAAGATCAGCTAGTCTTCAATCTACAGCAGCAAGATGAACTCGCCAGCAAAAGAGAAGGCAAGCAGCAAGAAGCCTGGCATTCTCCTCTGCCTTGGTCTTTTATACCGGCTGCCATCAGAAGGTAACGCCCATATTTAGGGTGTGTCTTCCAGCTTTAGATGATCCAATCAAGAAGATCTCTTTCAGTTCAGTTAATCCCAGATCCAATCAAGTTGACACCCAGGATTAGCCATCACAGAGTCTGACTGGAGAGCTGGCCTTTGCTGTGCAGCAGGTAGCCCAGGCACATTTTAGAGAACACTAGGTAATGCAGTCACTCTTCAGGGGATGAATATTCGCAGGTCTCCCGCTGTGCACCTCACACTGTGGACATACAAGGCTGCTCCTTTATTTACCAGTTTTAGGACCTGTTTTCAGTTAAAAGTCTCTGTCTCCTGCTCAGCATTCTCCATTAGGTCTGTTAAGACCATTCATCAGTACCCGCACAGTGGCTAACAGCCGTTCATAACTCCAGTTCCAGGGGATCCAACGCCTTCTTCTGACCTCCATGGACATTGCACGACTTGGGCGCGCTTATACACATGCAGGCAATACACTTATACACGTTAAAAGTAAATAAATAACTTAATTTTAAAAAAGAATACAAGCTGGGGAGATGGTTCAGTAGTTAAAGCTTATAAGCTTAGAGGACCAGAGATTGGGTCCTGAGCATATAATGAAAGCTTGTTTTCACTTCGACATTTTCCAAAGTGGTTTGTCTTATCTGTTGTTTTATCTTACCTAGTAACTAGTGTGTGTTATCCTGCAGTCACCCCCATGGCTAAGAACTAAGGAATGTCTCAAGATCACAGTGGGTCCTTGAAATAAACAAAAGATTCACAGCAGGATAGAGATGAAGATGATAATATACATTAGTGAGTGAATGAGAGGAATCAGATGAGTGCAAACTGAGACTTGACCTCTACTTTGCATAGCTACCCATCTGGATCCCCTAAGTTTAATGTGGTTTGAGCATCTTTCTTTGGGGTCAGTGGTCATTTGGGTGGGTGTGGTAGCCCACCTCTAATCCCAGCATGTGAGAAGTAAAGACAAGAGGATCCTTGGGCCAAGCTTCCTAGCTAGAGGAGCCAAACCAGTGAACGCTGGACTCAAATGAGAGACTCTCCTGAATGTGTACAAGGTGGGGAGTAATCGAGGGAGACACCCAGCTGCAACCTCTGGCTTGTGTGGGCACTCACACAAATGTGCACTCACATCTACATACATGTGCACTCAGACACATTAAGCACGTACACACATGCATACCACATATCACACATACATATGCATGCAAAAATACTAATAATTGTAACATAATTTCAGATTCTATTTTCAAGAGTGTTTTTTTTTTTTTTTCTTGACAAATGGTGGCGCATGCCTTTAATCCCAGCACTCGGGAGGCAGAGGTAGGCAGATCTCTGTGAGTTCAAGGCCAGCCTGGTCTACGAGTTCCAGGGACAGCTGGGGCTACAGGGAGACCCTGTCTCTAAAAGACCCCCCCCAAAAAAATACCTGTTTATTTCATCATATCTCTCATTGGTTCATTGCCTTCCAGTTTCCCACATTTTCAGTCAATCTTTTTTTATTAT